TAATATTTATAATTAATATATTTATAATTATATTATAAATAAATATATATATATATATAAAGAGAAAATAAATATAAATTATTATAATGCAAGTACACAGTTTAGCACTAGACTTGGAAAGTTTTAATACCATCATACGATATATAAGTCTACATAAAAATTGTTCTTTTTACATTATAATAATCTTTTTCATATTAAAAATTCAATAATTTAAAATTCGATACTTGCTTTCATTATCGAGTGTCATTCCAAAAATACCACCGTTCGAGAAAATAATACGATTTTCTATATCGGAAATGGTATCAGTTGGTTTCATGAAATCAGATTCTATCCTACAGAATGTTAACGTATGCATGTCGAATATCACTAAACCATAGCCTGTTGTATCAGCTATTAATACCTGAGCCATGATTTGTTTAATATATTAATTATATATTGATTATATTGCAGAATATGATTAAATATCAACTGAATCATATTTGCACGAGCACAGAATGGAAAATATGGACTATTATGATTAAAACACAATACAATATTTACAAGAATATACTAACAGTTGCAGTATCTATATTTTTACAAGGAGGGACAAAAACAGTAAGTGTCGTCAATAATCCAGTGCCATTTTTGTTGTTAGCGATATCGTATGGAATAATAACACGTTTAATCAACTTATTAGTTAATAAGTCAAAGACTAATAGTTTTGCGTCACAGACTTGGTCATCCCCGATTTTGCCACAATCCAGAACAAAAAGATAATTCTCTCTAATCTAATATAAAAATAAAAATTTTGTTTTATTTATATTGTCATCAATGCAGATGTGATTGTTGCAACTAGATTAAGTAACAAAATATTATATATAATTGTATAATTTTGCTCCTACATACATACACGTTTGAAATAATAATTGGAATGTAGAATGTAATTGTTGCTTAGAGATGAAATGTATTAGTACTTACATATATTCGATAAACGCTAGTAATGCCTTCGCACCTATCCATATCATTATCATTTTTATACCAGTACCAATTTGGATATGGACGCAGAAGTGGACCCCCTTCTCCCACTTTGTCAGTTACCGTCATCACGCTAGCTGGTACACCCTTCTCTCTTCCCGAAGTAACGAATAATCTACCATCTACGAATTTTGTAAACGATATTTGTGTGTTATAAGATCTATTTATAACAAATAGGTATCACACAATTTCATTGGAATCTATATTCATTACGTTAGTACAGCATTAACATATAAAAATGTAGAGATATACATGTGATAATGTTAAATACATATTGATACGCTTTTGCATATAAAGGTGTTTATATTTTTATATAAAATCTTTCAAATAGTATCAGCCTACCTGGTGCCTTGTCTACATCATATAAAACGCACGAGCTTGCGTTATAATTGCCAGAATCTATTGCTTTCTGCTTCTCTCGCGGACTGTACCACTGATAATCAACATATTTCCATTCGTATATAGTTTTCAGGTCTACGGCAAAGCTCATAATTGTCATCGATAGAAGTGATATAACAAATAAAAAATGCTTCATTCTTATTGCAGCGGTTAAAGTCACTATTATATATAATAAAGTATTATTATATATATTAAAGTAGTAATTCAAATATAATGTAACTATATACACACGTATGATACAAGCGCAAATTTATCAATGATCGCTTGTAGAATGCTGTTCAATATTTACAGTATTCCTAACCCATTGTATATGATAATGTTTTTCAAAAAAGCTTTCATTATACAATTGATAAACAATTGTAGTCTCGTTGAAATTTATTCAACGCTGTGTTTTTGATAATAACTTTGTAAATGCATTTAATACGTAATCAATTCTAAGTTATCTTATCAGTGAAATTTTTCTCTTTCTCTCTCAGAGTATACACACACTCATTTTTTTTTGTAATAATTTTATACGAGAAAGTGATAATATATCTCATATATTTGTGCAAGTATTATTACAAAAGAAAGTGCAAATATTTCTTTTAATCACTGTATTTTTGACAATCTGATTCATTTCCTATTTTCTATTTTACGTTTTGCAATTGTAAAATGACTTGCACAGTGATATAGCAAAGTTCATATAAACATATTGCTTTATATAAATGCATTTTAGTCATCAAATATATAATATTTTAAACGCATTATTATATAAAGTAACTTCTTAAATTTTTCTCTTATTTCTTTTTGCGCCTTAAAAGCTATTTTTTTCTAAATTGTTATTCCTATATATTACTTAAAAATGTTTTCCAATTTTAAAGCAAATTTGACTTACATATATGGTAGACAATTCTCTTTTTTATCTCATGAATACAAATCCAGTATTTTTATAGCTTTTTCGCTCAACGGGAGTGAGTCGTACAAACTACGAACATGTTTTTATCAAAATTCGAAGTTGTACTCGGTAGCCTTGGTTAAATAACATAAATGTGCATTTGTTATGTAAATATCAATTGTGCAATTATTATTTTTATTGCAATTATTCTTGTGATCCAATTGTGTCCACACAGTTATCAATAGCACACTTTCCATCGTCTTTAATAAAAAATTGATAAATAATTTTATCTAGTCTAATATAGGTCAATTGACGTATCAGAAGTAGAGAATTCCTGATATGAGGCACTACTCGCGTATATCAATGAACGATTCCCATTTATCGAACCGCAATCTCAGTAATTTTAATCTTCGTATTTGACATTGATAAGGTATAGAACGGTTAGACCCACTCTCCAATACCGTTCAGAAAAGTACGGAACTGTTCAGGAGCAGAAAAGAAGAAACGGTGAACGAAAGCAAAGAGATTGCTACGTGCTTTTAACGAGACATCGCTTGTCGAATAGATTGCGAACGTTATATTGCCTGTCGTTATCTGATATGTCTGCTTAAATGATTTTTGTGTCCACTATCCGCGATCGTTTCGTTTTGTTCCATTGATTCTTTAGAATGCAAATTTCTCTCGCATAATTTAGCGTTAAATATACCTATATCATATTTTTAGCCCATTTAAGTTTAAATTTTAAAAACAATGCAAATGCAATGCAAAAGAATGCCATAGAAATAGTCCAAATACTTTAAATATATAATTGTAAAGTATGTAGATATAAAGCTAATGAAGGAAAACGATAAGATTATTGCAACTTTGAATGAAATTACTCTTCCAAATTGTTTATCTGCTTGCTGTAAGCCGTATTCTTTTCGCTTTGCCAATTCTTGGGCTTGCAAAGAAGTTTAACAGTTTGGCTTCGTTAAAATATTTAGCATCTGCTCTTTACTCCATAATTATATTTAAAACAATTTTCATAAAAGTTACATAAAACAAATATTTAGACCATTACATTTTACTTTATGAGTATTTAATTTTTAATTGGAAAGCTAAATTTTTCAGTACTTGACGCAATTATTATTTAAAAAAAAATGTTATCTAGCTTATTGTATAATTAGTATGTAATATTCAAATTTAGTTGAAAATTTTTAGCATTAACTCAGTTTTAAATAAAAATGTTTCTGCAAACTATTGAATAGTATTTATATCGTATTAAATTTTAATTCTTTATGTCCTGCATCGTATATTTTATAGAAATATTACATTATTTTTAGTCTGATATTATTTTGTGAGTTTAAGTATTTTGCGAGTATAAATTATTACAGTTGATTTTCTATCAAGTCTATCACTAATTTATTTATAATTCCTTTTAATAAATTTCTCTGAAAGAACGTATTAAACGGAAACAACAGAGGCGATTTAGAGAGAATATACCGACGATAAATGGGTAGAGAAAAGTGATTGAAGGACATCTCATAGTCGTGGGCCGTTCCGTGATTGGTTTAACGGGATTTAGTTCCTGTAATGCCAGACTCGACATCTGCTGTTGCGGTCAGCTTTGGTCAGACGCATTATCCGAGGGTCGTTAGGATTAACGTAGTAGGGGCAAACACGCTGTCGTTTTGAATCATTAGACATTTTAAAACTGCGTAAAAATGAACGTGTTTTTAATCGTGCTAAAATTTCTTATATCTTTTTTTTCTATTTTGAAATAGCTGCAATTATTGCAACTATTTTATCGCAATAATAATTGGCGATAATTGTTAAGCGAGCAAAAAAGTGTTCTCATCACATTTAAATTTCACAATTAAATTAAAAAAATTTATTATGTGTTTCTGTATAGTTTAAAAATTTTAGTGGGAAGCTATATCTTTCATTATATAAGCTGCAAGAATGAGATTCTTTACAAGGTTAAACAACAACATCTAGAGAAAACTGCAGATGTTATCAAATCACTAACTTTAAAAAAATACAATGTGAAAAATTGATATGCAAGTTTATATATAATTATTATATATAATATATTATACATAATATTTTCCTAAGAGTATCTTAAAGTAAACGTAAAATCGTTGTTTGATAAAATGTACTAATATTATTCATATATATTATTCATATGTTTCTTTTTAAAATAGAATACTTATTGAACAAAAAGCATGAATAATTTATGGTATTAATAATTTATTAGTATATGTTCAATATCTTATGCATGCAATGTTTTGTTTGGTTTTTGTACCTCGTGTGCAGAAGTACTCGTAACGAATCCGCATATACGGTAACCGTATTTCTAGTTCGTGCCCATTTCGCCCTCTTTCGTATTCCATCCCATCCGAAAGGGCTGCATTATAGATCGTGTGAAATCCAAGTGTCTGACCTCGATAGGCAGCGGTAGGTCCCGTTAGAAAGAGAAGAAGAAGAGCGAGGGGAGAAGCGGCCTCGTGTGAGCGAAGGATCGAGCGTGGAAGAGAGAACGAGGGGGCGAATCATCGTGCGAATTTTACGTTAACCCGATAGCTGGTTGGAATAGATTACATCGATCCGGGAGTAAAATCTATCTGTGCGGATAATGCTTCTATAAACGGTCCAGACATTGTTAGCACATTTTCACCTTTTATTCACGATAACTGTAATGTCTCCTTTCGCTGCATATGATTAGATAAGATAAATTAAAATATCGTAGCTGTATATTATTTTTCAGAAGAGCAAAAGCTCTCTTAAAGGGCTACTATAAATAAAATAAGACAAACAAAATTAAAGATTGAATTATTATATGTATATATAATATATAAGGCTAATTATTAATCCTAATAAATGGATACAAAAAGTGTCGTTATAAAAATTTATAGTTTAATTAATTTAATTAACATATTTAAATTATATCTCAATAATAATTTTTTAAGTGACAAACTTTGTTTTTAAATTTTTATATTTTATAATTGTCATCAGTATATCTCATTTAATATCAGAAACATACAAGTATTGCAAAAAGATGGCATATATAAACAAGTAATTTCCTTCTTTTATAAATAGCTTATTTTTTTGCTAAATATACAGAACATTTCCTGTTTTAATATAGATCTTACAATGATACTGCGAGACATACATGCAAATACAAAGTGGTCGTGCATGTGGAATTATGAGTTCTGTGTATCTCTAGCCACTTGTATTTTAATTAACAAATCCACCTCGCCTTTGTGTTACACGAGACAATTACCACTGTTACGTGATTCTATCTGATATTAATCGCGAAATCACTTTATACCGTTCACTTTGTACTTAATCGCGTTACAGCTTTGCTTAAAAAATAGTAATTTTTTTCTCATATTCGTGTATTTCATCGCAACATAGCGCGAAAGAATGAATTTTTATGCCACTTTTGAACACTTTTTCTAATCTCGTTAAAATACGCAGCAATTAAATTAACTTTTCTGCAAAGAAAATGTTGCTGAGAAAATTCGAGTTTAATTTACTTATTGTTAGATCTACTTTTATGTAGAATTTCAAAAGAAGAGATTACAAATTTTACAGCATGTAAAGTCATTTATAGAGATAAAAGAGCTGACATATGAAAAGTAGTCATCTATCTTATTTCATTCAAAGGTATATTTTTTAACAAATTGAAAAGCATTTAAAAAAGAAATTTTTTTACAGATTAAAGAACTTAATTTTTAATTTAGGCTTTTAAAAATGATAATTATGTGTATCATAATATATGGAGCTATAATATAAAGCTTCCTTTTATCTTACATTATAACAACGTTAATTTTGAACATATTAAATTTAAGACAATTTGAAGATAAGCTTTTGTTAATTAATATATATAAGAGATTATATCAAATTTTATCTTAGCACTAATAGATTAAATTATATAAAATTATTATATTTAATTATATTGTTTTCATGTAATTAATTTTAATTATATATTATTCTAATTGTATTTTCTGCTAGAATAAACTCAATAAATTCACTAACTTTTTTATAATTTGCATTCGCACTGGTTACACTAGGCAACCCTTATGCTTTAGAGACTTGTATCGGAAAACGCGCTTATTCCGCTCCTTCTAACCACGCAATTAGTCGAATTAATTACGCAGTACTGCTGTACGATTAAAGCGCGAGTTCGCGTTTCCCGTGTCGTAAGCGTGAAAATTTGCCGGTACAGATGGCGGCATTAAAAAGTTTTCCGTTCCGATCGTGAACTTTCCGAAAGTAGCGTACTCTTCCTCGCCACGAATCACGAGGGAACAGATGTAAGC